CTTTCCCCCATCATATCCTTTCATCCCTTTAGACCCAAGTGCTATATCGAACTCCTTGAAATCATAAAATGTTTCTGTCGTACTGAATTCTCTCTGGATGAAGAAATTTCTCCTGATCTTAGTCCTAAATGGTTTACCCTGTACCCTTGGGTTGTGGCCCCTAGTTCTAGATTCCCCCATCATTGGAAACATCCTTCCTACATCTACCTTCTCTAGGAAGATAGAGGAATTGGATGTTATTAAATGGAGAAAGACTGCATAAAGCTATGGAGCAGAGGGATTTGGGTGTCCTCGTCCATGAAAAGATAGCATCCAAGTTCAGTGGAGAATAGAGAGAGTAAGTGAATGTTGGCCTTTATTTCAAAGGTAATGAGTATAAAAGTAGAGAGGTTTTCCTAAAACCTTACGAGGCACTAATCAGACTCCAGCTGGAATACTGCGAGCTGCATTGGGCCTCTTTTCCAAGGAAAGCTATTACTGACTTTGGAGGTAGTCCAAAGAAAGTACACTAGGCTGATACTAGGTATAGAGGAACTGTCATCTGAGGTGAGGTTGAGTAGATTGAGCTTATACTCATTGAGATTTAGAAGAATGAGAGATGACCTTATTGAAATATACAAGGGTTTAGGAGACTTGACAAGGCAGATGTGGAGAGAATGTTTCTCCTTGTAACAGAATCAAGGACCAGGAAGTATAATCTCAGAATAAGGGGTCACACACTTCAGACAGATATGAGGAGGAATTTCTTGTCTCAGAAGGTAATGAATCCTCACCATACAGCACTGTCAAGGCTGGGTCATTAAGTATATTCAAGGTTCAGACAGCCAAGTGTTTGATCAGTAAAGGAATCTAGGGTCATGGGAAAAAAGCAGGGTTTGAGGATCATCAGATCAACCACGACCTTATTGAATGGCAGATCAGACTTGATGGCCTGAATGCCATACTTATTCTCTTGCGTGTCATGGTCTTATTATCATAGGAGCACATTTAGACAATTCCCAATTGTATGTACAAGAATATTTACAGAGCTTTTAAAGGACAAAAGAATGGTCAAGGTCTGATTAGAGTTTTGGAACATTAGAATATTTTGAAGTTTACAGTTTTTAAAAATTTGTTAATTCCATTCTGATTGTTTTGTAAAATTATGTGAAATGGGCCCAACTGGATGGGTTAAATACATTATCTTTTCACCTCTGAGACCTGTGTTTGAATCAACCCTGACAAACAATGAAAATTTACTTTCTTTGCTGGTTCTGAGGGCTTCAAAATGTAACAATACCTATCACACAAAAATTGCACTTGCACAGAACCTTGTACTGTCACAACATGAACTTGCCAGTAAAATTACCAACTCGCGCCCCTCCAACCCTTGTTGGAATGGATATATATAAATATAACTTGCTAATTTTACAGTTGGAAGTGTATTTTTGCTTATCTTGTTGCATGATATAATTTTTCATTGCATGTTTGATGTTTTGATTTTATTTAATGCATTGAAATCAATATGATAGCCCAATCATTAACATTACTGGAGTCAAATTTTCCGTAAGTACGAAATTATGCAGAATTTAGTAAATATGGGAAATTAATCTTTACTCGGCAGACAACCAATCAACACACATGGAATTCTCCATTCCTTTCATTTCACCCTCCATAGATTAGCCATGGGAAATGCAGGGCTACGGGGATAAGGTAGGGAGGTGGTTATGGATGGGTTGCTCTTCGGAGGGTTGTGTGGATTTGATGGGCTGAAATGGCCTGCTTCCACACTGTAGTGATTCTATCATACCAAATCAAAGGAATTTTTAGAAATTAGCACCAACACATCAACTAACTCACTTACAACTTCTGTAAAACTTTAGGATAAAGCCCATTTGGAACCAGAGACATATCAGGTCATAGAAATTAAGACTCTAACGATGACCATGAATCCATTGCCAATTGTCGGAAAAAACCCATCTAGTTCACTAATGTCCTTTAGGGAAGTAAACTGGCATCCTTACCTGATCTGGACTACATGTGACTCCAGACCCATAACAATGTGGTTGACTCTTAACTGCCCCCTGGGACTGGCACTAAATGCTGGCCTAGCCAGTGACACCCTCATCTCATGACTGAATTTAAAAAAAGACCAAAATTTGTTCAGTATCAGTTCTCTCGTGTTTGTCATTTTCCTGTGTTCCTCCCTTCTTTATATTTCCTGATTTCTATGATATTACCTGAATCCTCTAAAGTGAAGACTGCTGCAAGTTGCTGTTCAATTCATCTTTCATCATCTTATTTTCCATTATTAATTCCCCAGCCTCACTTTCTATAGGTCAAAAACTGCTGACCAGTTGAGAAAGGCAAAATGTGATTGTCAGTCATATAGAATGTTATTTGTGACCTGACTGAAGAGGTTCAAGAATGAATTGTAGTCAAGGTTAGCAGCAATCATCTTGGAGGTGACAACACATTCAAGAACATTGAAGAAGAGAATATGTGGTGGGATTTTGGGGTTTTGTAAAGGATAGTGATGATAGCAGATCTGAAGGAGACATCACTGGAGATAAGACCAAGACAGTAAAAGATGCGAGTTGAGGACTGGGACAGAGGAAAAGCTTAAGGAAGAGGTGGCCGAATGTGCTGGAGGAAGGGAAGGAGGTAGTTGCTATTTGGATGATCACAATCTTAGTAACATAGAAGTTCACAAGTAGCCCAATGGTCTTGTTTGTGAGGAGGCAGACGGGGTTTTCTGAGAGATTTTCTTTTTACCCAGGTGTTACCTTTGTACTCCAGGATTCTCCCAAAAGAATGAACAATTTTGACAGCAGAGAAAAAGACATGATAACTTCCCTCAAACCCCATTTTCTCCATCTTCAACAACACCATTCTTTACCTTGTCAAGAACAAGCTTCCCAATGGTGTGGACATTGTGTGCAGGATGGATGGAAAACCTTTTAACCTCAGCTGGTTTAAATTCAAGAACAGAAGCATAAATAAAGGATTAGAACAATTGTTTCAGAAAGAGTTATTAGGATATGAAATGTATTGGCTTTTAAGGGAAATTAGATCAACACAAATTTATTAGAAGTTATGAGAAAAAAGCAGAACAATTACATTTTACAGGACAGATGGCTACAGGTGTTGTAAGTGGTATGGTAAACTCCATGGACTAAACAGGAACCAATGCTTGTAGTTCTGTCATTCTATAATGTGAAAGAGTTGCTTCTATTTTGTAGCACTGTCAATTAAACTCAATAATAATTCCTATCTGTCAATGATACCTGATTCCCCTTTGGTTAAAATCATTGTGGATAGTGGGGAAAGTAGTTAATCACTCAGTTACTGCATAAACACCATACAGAATATGTTTTAATAATTAATTACCCTTAACAGTAAATGTTGCTGATATGTAAAATCATATTTCCAATGTGTGCATGGAAATGTAATAAAACAGGGCACCCATTTGTAATTTTTCCTTTACTATTTGGAACGTTGGCGGGCTGGCTTCTCCACTATTCAGCATGGGGAACCACGAGCTGAATGCACTACTCCTATATCTTGTGTTCCTGTGTTCATATCTTTACCATGATGATGTACTTGAAATGCCATAACATTCAAGGCTATGGGACTAGTGTATATTTAGCATGGTTTTGATGGTAGAAATTTAAGGGGCTGAAGGGCCTCTTCGATTCTGAGAAAACAACACCGACCTCACTTGTGGGATTTCAGTATGTGGATGCCAATGCCATCTCTGTTCCCTCAGAAGCCTTGCTTAATGCCTTTGCAGAAGCATACTGAAGAATTGGTCTCAGCCTCAACCTCAAGAAGACTCAAATCCTTTACCAATCCATTTCAAGTTCTGGTCAATCCCTCCATTAAGATCAAAGGACAAATCCTCTCAAATGTGGAACATTTCCCTTATCTGGGAAGCTACCTTTCAGCTAAATCTGACATCACTGCAGAGATTCAAAATCACATCCAATCTGCGACCACCAACTCTCGATGCTTAAGGATGTTGGTCTTCAATGATCGTGATATGCATGCTGATACCAAGATCCTGGTGTCAGCTTCTGATTCTTTATGGCTCTGAAACTTGGACTCTGTATAGATAAATCTTGGAGAAGTTCTGAATAAGGGTCCCAACCCGAAACGTCAACTTTCCTGCTCCTCTGATGCTGCCTGACCTGCTGAGTTCCTCCAAATCCACACTGTGTTATCTCTGACTCCAGCAACTGCAGTTCTCACTATCTCCTAGAGGTTCCATCAATGCTGTTTGAGACAGATTCTCCACATCAGCTGGGAGGACAGGCATGCTAACATCGGCATCCTTGAAGCAGCCAACAGCATCATGATCCGAGTCATGATTATCCAAAAACATCTCCTGCTGGGACGGCCACATGCTTAGGATGCCTGGGTTCTAATTACCAAAGCAAATCTTTGCCCAGCTCAAGGGAGGCACTCAAATCAGAGGACAATGAAGGAAGCTTTTCAAAGACTCCCTGAGGCTTCCCTCAAGTAATGCAACGTAGATGTCAATGCATTGGAGATCCTCGTTCAGAAGAAACCGACTTAGAGGAAACTCCTGTATGAAGAGACATGATTCTTTGAGAACACCTGGTGGCAACAGGAAGTATGGAAAAGGAACGCCAACGATCTCAAGGCCTAGGATCAATTTCACCTGCTGGAAAGACCTGACAAGTGTGTGGTCAGAGATGTGGCTCCAGGATCAGGCTCATCAGCCACACAGGGCCCATAGAAGCCATGATAATTATCTATTAAAATATTCACTTGTGGGACATGGGTGGCACTGGCTGGCTAGTATTTATTGCCAGTCCCTAGTTGCCCTTAAGATGGTGAAGGTCAGCTGCCTTATTGAATTGCTGTAGTCCACGTGTTTTAGGTAGACATACAAGGCCTTTATGGAAGGAATTCCAGGATTTTCCTAGATAGACATTCATACTCGTTAGGGAGTGATTGCCAATAACAATACCATCCACCCTGTCACAATGCTCACCTTAGGTACGTGGAGGTCTTGTGATAAAGTGGGTAGCATTCTCGCCACTAAGTCAGGAACTCCTGATTCACGTCCCATTCACATCAGGAATTCACGGCCAAAGAGCATGTGATCATAATGCAGACAAAGTTGATTGTCAACCTGCAAATCTTTCCAACATTGTGCAATAGCAGGCAAGTCTTACAGTTGTCTCCTACGTGACCTGTTACATCTATTTGTTTGGTTGTTACTCGTGAGAAGAGTAGATCTGACCGGCTGCAATACAGTCATTTGCAGTTGCCACTCGCTGAACGGATTCTCCCAGAACAAGAAAAACTAAATTCCACACATAAGGTTTGTAATTACTTTTGTGAATACAAACAAGTATGCGGAAACGGTGTGCTTGGGTAGGACTAAGCATAAAACCATCGTATCTCAAAATCAAATTATCTGAAAATGGCCATGTATTAAATACGAAGAAAATTTGCGAAATGAAACGACCCACCCTTGTTCACACGTCAGGCGCTCTTCAGTTCCGGAAAATTCAGTTTCCCCCGAAATACATTGTGCTGTCAAAACAACGTCCAAAGTGTTTCTGCACACTCAGAAGTTGCGGTAGCTGAATTCGCTGTAAGTCCTACTGAGATCTGCAGTGTTATGTTTTTCTTTGTTTTTGTTGGTTCTCGGGGTCCCAACTTGTATATTGTAAACAGCAATGTACTGAGACGGATAGACTTCGTGAGCCAAATGCTAAACCCAGAAACTGTTAATATATATCATTCATTTATTTTCTATTAATCCTGGCTGTGCCGTTTGCTACGACCTAAGCTTGTTTTCATTTATCTAAAAATTGCTAATTTTGAAAATTTTGCGATGTTGAAACTATACGATGGTTGATCAAATAAATTAGAATTCTGTAAACTCAGTACCAAACTACGTGGCTACTCATTATTCCTTGAAGCTTTGTGAAATTCCGAATGTATGGAGGAACAACAAGGAAAGAAAATATAAGGATAGAAAATGAAAGTGAAATAGTGAAGAACAGGCAGCCAGACTGGATTGAAAGGAAAGCCTGTCTGTGCCAGGAATTTGAGATGTACGAAACATAATGAGCAGGGAGTTAGAGAAGGAACACATAATTGTACATCCTACTGGTGACCAAAACTTGAATTTTTTTGAAAACAAAAAAGTAAATTTGAAGCCTCCTGTGTTATACTTGCAATTCTGTACATTTATGCAATTGAAACTAAATGTGCAATTAGTGATAATCCAGTTGTGCGACAGGTGACTTTAGTCCCTCTGGACTTGTGGAAGTCATGAAGGGGTTTATCTACAATGACACATTACTACAACACAATAATTATACGTCTAGGGCACTGACCATCAGGCTCCAGATTGTTGGTGACCCGACATACAAACCCAAATGTGTAGTGAAACTCTGTGGAAGACCTGACACACTGTGCCCACAGAAATTACTTGGGAAGTTTGGATTTCCAATAAGCAATTCTCCAAGACTGTCCACAAAAACTTTACCTGAATAGCCATCCAGTAAGTGGGTATTTTAGCTGACAGTCTCAACTACCACTTCCTGACATAACCCCCAACGACCTGACTTCCCCCACCGTCTGACTAATTCCTGGCTCGACCTGACTAATCCCCGATTTGATGACTACTCCTGACTCCATTACTCACCTACACCTTAGCTATTTACCTTACCCAGCCTATTTATTCACTCGTTCATCCACACTAATGTTCACACTGGACCTTTAAACCTGTTTTAAGGCAGCTCATGCTATTGAAAGGGGGCATATCCATTCCCCACACAGCCCTATCCACCTTCCACTGCCGTGCTGTAGTGCTATGATGAAGCTCTGAAGATTCGCTCAGAATCTGTGTAGAAATAAAGCTTGGAAGACCCATCAATGATGCGGAGCAGCATTGAGATAGGCAATGTTTGAATGGAGCCGCAATCCGATGATTGTTGCTGTCTGGAAGACCAGGTCAACTGTTTCTACATCTATCTGTATGTGCTAACGACTGATTTTTCTCAACAGGAATACATGGGATAGGTTGTCTATAATATTAAATGGATTTCATTCTCTTTTCTAGGTAAATCATGGATTTATCTGATGCAGGAGAGGATAGTTCCATGTTGGACTGCACCTCTATGGATGACAACAGTTATGAGTTCAGAATATTGATGGCCTATGCACAAAGGACTTTGCCTATGGCTAAAGTAACTAAAACTGGTAAAAAGGAAGCAGACATGCCTTCAATTGGAGTGAGCAGTTTGAGTGCATCAAAAGTTGAACAACGTCAAACAGACAAAATCCAATTTGATAGAAAAGTGAAAAGTCACGATCGTAAATTCAAACACAGAAGGAAACCCCTATGGAAAAGGATCCCATGTTTACGAGGAGAAACAGACAAATCTGACATTGACTTCAAAGAACAAGGAATAAATGAAGAAGATAAGATGGAATTCAAATCTTCACATGAATTTGCTTTTCCAGACACTATACAACAAAGTAAGTATTTTGATGCATGATAGTAAATAATTTCTTTAAAGGAGCGGTTAGAGAGAGATACAGAGTCAAATTCTAATCTTTGGAGCCTAAGTTGAACACCTAGGATATCAACACCCACAGAGCATTATCTCAGTTTACTGGATGGATCAGGAATGGGGACATTACCCCTTGCCCCCACCAATATTCCAACATTTTATTCAAGTCCAGCACCTTTCTGCACCTGTGACTGAGATTTGCTACTTCAGCATATATTACAAATTGAACCTTTTGATCTATGTGGATTAATTGTCGGGATAAAGTTTAGCAAATCTTGTGTGGCAAATGAAAACATTCTCCACTTGGTTTCATTTATATATGGCTTAAAAACAACTCTTTTATTTTGGCAATAAATTAATAATATCACTCAGCATGGCTCAATCAGATTTAAGGCATATTGTCGAGACAAAATTGATGGAACATTGTTCTGAATTGTATCATACTGCAACCAGACATATCTGATGTTGATCCTATGCATTAAAAATAAGAAGCATATTCATTTCCCTAAATAGGATCCCTTATCATGAACAGTTCAGCTGGGTAAAATCTTCAAACTCCCTTCTTCATAGCATTGTGTGTTCCCTACACCAAATGGACTGCAATGCTTCAAGAATTCAGTTCAGTACAACCACCTGGTGTGAAATTAGGATGGCAATAAGTATTGGCCTAACCAGCAATGCCTGTGAAAGAATAAAAAAAACTGTGCTTTAGATGGGTTACAGATTTTCTTAAAAAAAATCTGTCTGACTTGATTTCATTCATCTCAACTAAGAGCAGTAAGAATATAATTTTTGCCTAAACATCCTTGAGATGGAGAGGAGAAATTTGACTAAGGCTGTCTTTGCGGATTGCTATCCATGTCATTGTATGTGATTGACAGCAGAGATGACATACCCAGGCTGGGCTTCCATACTTTCCCACCCTCATCAAATAATTTATTCATAACCAATGTAAAATTTCACATTGAATAGTGTCCACTTCGTTACATCCTTGAACAGTTAGCAGCATCCATTGAATACTCTGTGCTGAGGAAGAGAAGAAATGACAAAACTTTTTGAAAAGAATAATGAAATGCCATGCTGTGAAACTGACAGGTCCGTAGGGATTGCAATCTGTCACTGTCTTTGGTAGAGAAGATTCTCATTTCTTTCTGTTGTCAAAGTGTTTGTTTTATGAAGGCAGTGCACCCTTCAGCTTGTAGTACTTAAGCTACAACACCATTCAATATATTCTTTCCCCTGGTGGGTGTATACAGGACTGCCTCGTAGCTATTTGTGTCTTATGCAGTAAAACAATTGGTCTAAGAAGACATTTTATACAGTAATTTCTCATGTGAGGCTATTCCATCCTCTAATTCTGCAGATATTTCACACCACTTTCTAATGCAGTAGAAATCTTCTATGAACATTATATTTACAGACAGCTTCTGATATAGTTACAATATGTAGAATAATTCTCCTTTTGCATTTGGAATGTACTGAAAAATAACATCAAGCCAGTCAGTTCAAACAGTACCTCCTGTCCTGAAATTGTTATTCGTTATGTACGAGGTTTTCATTACAGTCAAGTTTGCTCCTACCAATCAATTCCATTATTTTACTAGTAATGGATTAAAGACTATTGGTTCTGTAACAATCTAAATTAGATTTGTCACTATTTGCAATAAAAAGAGTCGTACATCAAGTAATTGTGAAGAGATAGATTTGTGTCCATGTACATGATCAATTCTTATCTACCTGTAAATACACTATAAAGTGTTAGATGGACACTTTGTTTAAAAAAAAGCTCAAATGGGTTAAATTTAGAAATGTGGAGCACCTCCTAGTTGATCAACGAGTGCAATGCAAGGGACACAATTTTTTGAGGGCTGTAAAAGTCCTGACAAGGGAGTTTTTTAGCCAACGTTTTAAGGATACGTGGCTAGCTGTGACACTCAAGGTGATTAAAAATAACAAAGGTATTTATCTGTGTTGTGATGCAGGACTTTTGGATGAAATTAAACTGATATGTATTGCCTTGTGGACCTTCAGAAAGTAAATTAGAAAAGGATACATTTAGCAACTATTTGGTTAATTTAATCAAGAAGCTGGTGTTCAGACCAATTCTGCAGGCATACAAAATTAGTGCAACCCTTATACACCTGCAGAAGACAGGAACCTCAGTTCTTCAAAGTAAATCATTCTATGTGTAGTGTTTGCACCATTTCTGATAGACATGATGTATGACTGTATACTGACCCCTTCTCCCGCTTCCAACACACTCCCTCCTCCTGGACACCACCCCAAGGCCTCCTACCCTCCCTCGACCTCTTCATCTCCAACTGCCGTCGAGACATCAATCGCCTCAACCTCTCCACCCCTCTCACCCACTCCAACCTCTCCCCCGCAGAACGTGCAGCCCTCCGCTCCCTCCGCTCCAATCCCAACTTCACCATAAAACCCGCGGACAAGGGAGGCGCAGTTGTAGTATGGCGCACTGACCTCTACATCGCCGAGGCCGGACGCCAACTCCCCGACACCTCCTCCTACCGCCCCCTTGATCATGACCCCACCCCTGAGCACCAAACCATCATCTCGCAAACCATCCACAACCTCATCACCTCAGGTGACCTCCCACCCACGGCCTCCAACCTCATCGTTCCCCAACCTCGCACTGCCCGCTTCTATCTCCTTCCCAAAATCCACAAACCTGAATGCCCTGGTCGACCCATTGTCTCTGCCTGCTTCTGCCCCACCGAACTGATCTCCAACTATCTAGACTCCATTTTCTCCCCCTTGGTCCAGGAACTCCCTACCTATGTCCGTGACACCACCCACGCCCTCCACCTCCTCCAGAACTTCCAATTCCCCGGTCCCCAACACCTCATCTTTACCATGGACGTCCAGTCCCTCTACACCTGCATTCCCCATGCAGATGGCCTTAAGGCCCTCCGTTTCTTCCTGTCCCGCAGGCCCGACCAGTCCCCCTCCACTGATACCCTCATCCGCTTAGCCGAACTCGTCCTCGCACTCAACAACTTTTCTTTCAATTCCTCCCACTTCCTACAGACAAAGGGGGTAGCCATGGGTACCCGCATGGGCCCAAGCTACGCCTGCCTCTTTGTAGGTTACTTGGAACAATCCCTCTTCCGTACCTACACCGGCCCTAAACCCCACCTCTTCCTCTGTTACATTGATGACTGTATCAGCGCCGCCTCGTGCTCCCACGAGGAGCTCGAACAGTTCATACACTTCACTAACACCTTCCACCCCAACCTTAAGTTTACCTGGACCATCTCTAACACCTCTCTCCCCTTCCTGGACCTCTCTGTCTCCATATCGGGCAACCACCAAGAAACCGATATTCATTTCAAGCCCACCGACTCCCACAGCTACCTAGAATACTCCTCCTCCCACCCACCTTCCTGCAAAAATGCTATCCCCTATTCCCAATTCCTTCGCCTCCGCCGCATCTGCTCCCAGGATGAGGCATTCCACTCCCGTACATCTCAGTTGTCCTCGTTTTTCAAGGACCGTAACTTCCCCTCCTCGGTGGTCGAGAACGCCCTCAACCGTGTCTCCCACATCTCCCGCACCTCATCCCTCACACCCCGTCCACGCAATAAGAACCAAAAAAAATCCCCCTCGTCCTCACGTACTACCCCACCAACCTCCGGATCCAACGCATCATCCTCCGACACTTCCGCCATCTGCAATCCGACCCCACCACCAAAGACATCTTTCCCTCCCCACCCTTATCTGCTTTCCGGAGGGACAACTCTCTCCGTGACTCCCTTGTCCGCTCCACACTCCCCTCCAGCTCCACCACACCCGGCACTTTTCCCTGCAACCGCAGGAAGTGCTACACCTGCCCCCATACCTCCTCCCTCATCCCCATCCCAGGCCCCAAGAAGACTTTCCACAACAAGCAGATGTTCACCTGCACATCTGCTAATGTGGTGTACTGCATCCGCTGTACTCAGTGTGGCTTCCTCTACATCGGGGAAACCAAGCGGAGACTCGGGGACCGCTTTGCAGAACACCTACGCTCGGCTCGCAACAAACAACTGCACCTCCCAGTCGCGAACCATTTCAACTCCCCCTCCCATTCCTCAGACGACATGTCCATCCTGGGCCTCCTGCAGTGCCACAACGATGCCACCCGAAGGTTGCAGGAACAGCAACTCATATTCCGCTTGGGAACCCTGCAGCCCAATGGTATCAATGTGGATTTCACAAGTTTCAAAATCTCCCCTCCCCCTACCGCATCCCAAAACCAGTCCAGCTCGTCCCTGCCTCCCTAACCTGTTCTTCCTCCCACCTATCCCCTCCTCCCACCTCAAGCCGCACCTCCATCTCCTACCGACCAACCTCATCCCGCCCCCTTGACCTGTCCGTCCTCCCTGGACTGACCTATCCCCTTCCTAACTCCCTACCTACACTCACCTTTCCTGGCCCCATCCCCGCCTCTTCGACCTGTTTGTTTCCTCTCCACCTATCCTCTCCTCTATCCCTCTTCTATCCGCCTCCCACTCTCTCCCTATTTATTTCAAAACCCCCTTCCCCTCCCCCTTTTCTGATGAAGGGTCTAGGCCCGAAACGTCAGCCTCTCTGCTCCTATGATGCTGCTTGGCCTGCTGTGTTCATCCAGCCCTGCACCTTGTTGTCTCTATTTCTATTATGCATTAGTTATAAAATCAATTTGGAACCATCTGATTTTGCAAGTTTAAATTTGTAACTCCTATTTCAGATTCAGAGCTTTCTGTCAATGATCAGATTGCTGAAATGTTGCAGGAGATTATGAACTCCACAATGCAGAAAGGTACCTTCAGGATGCTTCGTTCCTGTAGTTTGGAAGTTGATGGAGCTGGTAAGTAGTTGGCAAGAATAATGATCTTTGTCTTAAAAAAAAAAATGGTAAATTTTACGAATAAAACAAATCTATTTATTTACAGAAGATCATCAGAAAGCCATAGACTGGATTATTGCACTATTGACCACTGAAGGAGACCATATAGATGAAGAAGTAATTCAATTGCATTATTCCTGTGCAATGTTGCGTATGTCAGTAATTAGGCAATAGCTTTTCTCTGCTTGCATAAATAAATTCCTGTATTTTCATCTGTTTTAGATTAAAAAGGACCCCCAGTTTAGCAAACTATTTGGTGAAAGGTCATCTTTTTCAATTTTTAAAACAATTATGGATTCTGTTCTTGAAGCAACCGTGCCTGCAGAAACAAATTCTGAAATGGACAGTCAAACAGAAGGAAACTTGAAGAAGATTGCCTTTGTTGTACATGCAACCACTAGATTTGCAGCTGCTGGTTATCACCCAGTGGCTCGAATTATGGGTTTTGGAGCAAAGTATTTGCAGGAACACTATACTACCTGGGTCATGCAGAAGGGAGGATGGGTAAGTTGATATGGCAAATTCTTAAACATTTAATCTTGCTTTCTCCTTGATGAATATATCTCCGTAAACACCAGAGAAATGTTTCAGTCTGGTTAACTGGCTCATGAACCCCCACAAGCATTTGTCGATGAATCACCATTATGTAAGTTTACATTGCCTTTGACATTTGAAATTCCTTCCCGCATCAATTAAATTTCTTCTCACTTTACCTTACAAATCGATAGCCTTGTTCTACCCCATTTCTACAGTCTGCTCCAATTCTGCATCCTTTCCAGATTCTATCGTGTGATAGATCCTTGCTGAAACCACCTTGGTGCCTTAAACATTTCCAAGGTTTTTGATGTACAAGGAGCCTGTGTGTGGTTTCTCCTCTGGCTAGGGGTCACTTGGCACTGTCTCTGTGGGGAAGAGGCACCTGGAGTGAATAGCAGGTTCCCTGACCCCTGTTGCCATCCCTTTGGTCCTGAGGATCAGGGGCTTGGGGGGGCGAAGGAATGAAGGTATATGCACACCTCCAGCAAACCCTTAGTGTGCTTTACTGGCTCTCCATGGCAGATGCCAACCTAACCATGGTGGCAGCCAGACAGTTGCATGATTCACTTCACTGCTACAACTTGTGGACAATGAGGGGCATTGTGTACTATATACCCCTGTCTGTCATTCCTCTTCCTCCCTGTGCATTTGCTCCCTGATTACTGACACCACAGTGTTATCTCCCTACCTGAAGTTGAGCAAGTGCCTGGGTGTTTCTATCTTGTCCAGCTGCAGAGCAAAGTGTTCACCAGGTTGTGTTCCCAAGCTTTCTAAGACTTACATTCCCACCGAGGGGCCAGTGTCTGAGCTGGTGGGGCATACAGCCATGCTGATGCTTCCTCTGAGGCCTCAATATTCTGCCCTCCAAGATTAAGGAGGTGGCTTCTAACAAAGCTGACTGTTTCTTCATGGAGGTGACAGGGATACAATGCAGAGAGAAGAAATCACAGCCATTGGTTAGAAATGAATGACGCTGCCAGTGGGATTAAAGTGACAGCTGCAATGAAATAAAGAAAGGTGCTTACTGAGTTGGGAGAATGTCAAAGTCTCAGTATCTCTGCAGGAGTGACACCAGTCTTTTCCTATGAGGACCAGGACTGTCTCTTTGTAGGAGGTGAGGAGTCAAATGTTTGGCAACCTGCCATCTGTCTGGGCATTTTTGGCCCTTTTGTGTCTGAAT